CGTACATCTCTATCACAGCAATGTTCTCTATCTTGGGTGTGCAAAGCTGCTGTTTTAGGTCAATTTTCTGTTGTTGTTTTCGTGTCCAATGAACAGATGTCTCCGTACATCTCTATCACAGCAATGTTCTCTATCTTGGGTGTGTAAAGCTGCTGTTCTGGGTCAATTTTCTGTTGTTGTTGTCGTGTCCAATGTCTCCGTACATCTCTATCACAGCAATGTTCTCTATCTTGGGTGTGTAAAGCTGCTTTTTTGGGTCAATTTTCTGTTGTTGTAGTCGTGTCCAATGAACAGATGTCTCCGTACATCTCTATCACAGCAATGTTCTCTATCTTGGGTGTGTAAAGCTGCTTTTTTGGGTCAATTTTCTGTTGTTGTAGTCGTGTCCAATGAACAGATGTCTCCGTACATCTCTATCACAGCAATGTTCTCTATCTTGGGTGTGTAAAGCTGCTGTTCTGGGTCTATTTTCTGTTGTTGTTGTCGTGTCTAATGAACAGATGTCTCCGTACATCTCTATCACAGCAATGTTCTCTATCTTGGGTGTGTAAAGCTGCTGTTTTGGGTCAATTTTCTGTTGTTGTTGTCGTGTCCAATGAACAGATGTCTCCGTACATCTCTATCACAGCAATGTTCTCTATCTTGGGTGTGCAAAGCTGCTGTTTTAGGTCAATTTTCTGTTGTTGTTTTCGTGTCCAATGAACAGATGTCTCCGTACATCTCTATCACAGCATTGTTCTCTATCTTGGGTGTGTAAAGCTGCTGTTCTGGGTCAATTTTCTGTTGTTGTTGTCGTGTCCAATGTCTCCGTACATCTCTATCACAGCAATGTTCTCTATCTTGGGTGTGTAAAGCTGCTTTTTTGGGTCAATTTTCTGTTGTTGTAGTCGTGTCCAATGAACAGATGTCTCCGTACATCTCTATCACAGCAATGTTCTCTATCTTGGGTGTGTAAAGCTGCTGTTCTGGGTCTATTTTCTGTTGTTGTTGTCGTGTCTAATGAACAGATGTCTCCGTACATCTCTATCACAGCAATGTTCTCTATCTTGGGTGTGTAAAGCTGCTGTTCTGGGTCAATTTTCAGTTGTTGTTGTCGTGTCCAATGAACAGATGTCTCCATACATCTCTATCAAAGCAGTCGCAATGTTCTCTATCTTGGGTGTGTAAACCTGCTGTTCTGGGTCAATTTTCAGTTGTTGTTGTCGTGTCCAATGAACAGATGTCTCCATACATCTCTATCAAAGCAGTCGCAATGTTCTCTAGCTTGGGTGTGTAAAGCTGCTGTTCTGGGTCAATTTTCTATTGTTGTCGTGTCCAATGAACATATGTCTCCGTACATCTCTATCACAGCAATGTTCTCTATCTTGGGTGTGTAAACCTGCTGTTCTGGGTCAATTTTCAGTTGTTGTTGTCGTGTCCAATGAACAGATGTCTCCGTACATCTCTATCACAGCAGTCGCAATGTTCTCTAGCTTGGGTGTGTAAAGCTGCTGTTCTGGGTCAATTTTCTATTGTTGTCGTGTCCAATGAACATATGTCTCCGTACATCTCTATCACAGCAATGTTCTCTATCTTGGGTGTGTAAACCTGCTGTTCTGGGTCAATTTTCAGTTGTTGTTGTCGTGTCCAATGAACAGATGTCTCCATACATCTCTATCAAAGCAGTCGCAATGTTCTCTATCTTGGGTGTGTAAAGCTGCTGTTCTGGGTCAATTTTCTATTGTTGTCGTGTCCAATGAACATATGTCTCCGTACATCTCTATCACAGCAATGTTCTCTATCTTGGGTGTGTAAACCTGCTGTTCTGGGTCAATTTTCAGTTGTTGTTGTCGTGTCCAATGAACAGATGTCTCCGTACATCTCTATCACAGCAGTCGCAATGTTCTCTAGCTTGGGTGTGTAAAGCTGCTGTTCTGGGTCAATTTTCTATTGTTGTCGTGTCCAATGAACATATGTCTCCGTACATCTCTATCACAGCAATGTTCTCTATCTTGGGTGTGTAAACCTGCTGTTCTGGGTCAATTTTCAGTTGTTGTTGTCGTGTCCAATGAACAGATGTCTCCATACATCTCTATCAAAGCAGTCGCAATGTTCTCTAGCTTGGGTGTGTAAAGCTGCTGTTCTGGGTCAATTTTCTATTGTTGTCGTGTCCAATGAACATATGTCTCCGTACATCTCTATCACAGCAATGTTCTCTATCTTGGGTGTGTAAACCTGCTGTTCTGGGTCAATTTTCAGTTGTTGTTGTCGTGTCCAATGAACAGATGTCTCCATACATCTCTATCAAAGCAGTCGCAATGTTCTCTAGCTTGGGTGTGTAAAGCTGCTGTTCTGGGTCAATTTTCTATTGTTGTCGTGTCCAATGAACATATGTCTCCGTACATCTCTATCACAGCAATGTTCTCTATCTTGGGTGTGTAAACCTGCTGTTCTGGGTCAATTTTCAGTTGTTGTTGTCATGTCCAATGAACAGATTGTCCGTACATCTCTATCACAGCAATGTTCTCTATCTTGGGTGTGTAAAGCTTGTAAAGTTCTGGGTCTAAGTCAATTTTCTGCAAGCCTGCGGCCATTTCTTGACATGAGAATATGTGGGTAGGTGAATGCTTGTCTCTCAAACATTTATATATATTTTATAAGTTTATATATTTATATTTTATAACTATTGAGCTCAAATATTTTTTATTAAAAAATAAGCTTTCTACTGTCGGTGAAATCTTCGGTGAAAAAATATTCATAAGGATGTCTTCTTTCCTAAAACCTCATGTCCATAGTTTTCTTAAATATTATAACCATGAAATCACCCTACAGAGTCAAATATAGTATTAGAGTTCTAAAATCAGTGGATTAAATTGGCGAAACATCGCTCTCCCAGCTGTTTCGCCAGTTTAATCTATCATAGCGATCTAAGGACCATTCTTAGGACCATTCACCACTAATGAGTCAAGCCCTCCCAATAATGTTTCCATTGCAGAAAATACAGTAGGATAGTTTTTTTATTTATAAAAAAAAAAAAAGAAATTTTATAACTAGAGAAGAGAATAATGGTTTTACGGGTTACTCATTAAAGTGTCTGAATTTCAAATCCAAAAATATAGCTAGTAGTTTCAAATTTCATTAATAGATGGCGCGCTATATCACTGTAATATGTTTATAAATAGGCCTTGAGGAACTCTCTTTGGAGCTCCTGTTGAATGAGGTGGTGAGAAACAGAGCTGGAGCGTTTGCGTTGTTCAAATTTTGAAAGACGGCTGAAGAGAAGAGGAAGCTATATACATAATCTAACTGATGTAAATAATTATATGTAAATAATCTTTGTCAGGATTAGAATGACGAATCCTGCATGGTACTTTGTTTCCAGTAAAAGGCTTGCTGCTGCTGTTGTATATAGTCACAGTGTAGAAAATACTATACTATACCTACTACATATAGGTTTCTCTCTGTATTCTTAGTTCTCTTCTCTTCAATTACTCTGTAAACTGGCGAATCCTTTATAGGACGAGAGGTCCTCAATAAAGGCTTTTGTTGTTGTTGTTGTAATAGGTTTATTATTTTATTTGATAAAGATGACACCTCGAAAGCTTGTGAAAATCGAAACCAAACTAGATTAGCGTTTATATATTATTGTTGTAGTAAGTTAACTAGCACACATGCTAAAATAAGCTATTACTGAGTATCAAACGAAAGTTTAGCATCACGTGACCATATCTTGTAAAAGAGAAACTAGGTTATCCAGATGTTTACAAATGTACAGAGTGACTCAATCATTTCTTCGCTTCCTCAATAAATCATTTAATTCTGTCGTGACTATGCAACTTTCCTTATTGTCTTTTTCCTTTCTTGTAGTCTATTGTGTAAATATGTTGATTAAGCCTTTTTTTACCGAGGACATCTTTATTTGTCATTAATAAAGATGAGAAGTTTGCCTTTTGTTCTGTTTTCTCAATAGTTAGCGTATCGGGATGAAATACTGATATGTAATAGAGGTAGGTCTGTAGGAAGTCACTGTTTGGGATGGCAATATGTAAATTTGGTTGATCATTGGCTAATTTGCATATTCCACGAGTTTACTCTGCATACATTTCCACAGTATTTGGTGATGTTGGGATGAAATACTGATATGTAATAGAGGTAGGTCTGTAGGAAGTCACTGTTTGGGCTAGTAATATGTAAATTTAATTGATCATTTTGGCTAATTTGCATATCCCAAGCATTTACTCTGCATACATTTCCACAGTATTGGAGCTATCGGGATGAAACTTTGTCACGATAGAGAGATTGAAATAAGTTTATTATATCCTTCATATAATGGAAGTTATATATGGTTAAATACATATAAACCAATGTTCAATCATCAATATAGAATTAACCAATATGCAAATATATCCATACAAAGTTTTCATAGGTGGCACCCACCGCTACACATGTGAAAAGCAGTTCGACTTTGCACTTACAAATGTGCCAGAGCCCCGTTTGGTTACTTGCACTCGCTGGTAGGGTTGGACTTTTGCAAGAATCGGGGGCCGTTAAAGTATTTTAAGGGGATAGTTATTGTAAACAGATAGAAACAAAAAATATTTAAGTTTTTTAGCTAAAATTAATAATTAGTGATTTCTCTTTTCACTAGAGATTAGAAAGAATGGTAAGGTGTCATCAAAGAGGTGTTAAATGACTTCAGGAAGGATGTTATTTCATAACGTTTCAGGATTTCTTGGAAATAAGAGGATACTCGTCTGCCCAATGTATTTGTGAAGGTAGACATGTTGCATCCACAGAGTATTGTCAGCTCGACTTGCTATGTAGTAAAGCGAGGGAACAAAGATAACAATTTGTAATACAATATAATGTGGCTTATGATTGTAAAACGACATTTGAAAATTATCCCGCGTGTGTTTTTTTTTAACGAAAAATCGAAATTTATTTTAAGGAGAAATAACGATTATTTCTAACCTTAGGAATGAAGTATGAAAGGATGAATTGTGAAGAGTAATGATAAACGAGAAAAGCCTAGTGGACATGGCATCTGCTCAGTAAGCGGAACACTGTGGGTTCGATTCCCATCCCTGGACACTTTTATTTTTCCGTTTATCATTACTCTTCACAATTCATCCTTTCATATTTCATCCCTAAGGATAGAAATACTCGTTATTTCTCCTTAAAATAAATTTCGATTTTTTATTTATGCTTATGAGGTGATACAGCAACGTCTTTACAATTAGAGAGGAGACAAAATGAATCAAATCTAGAAAAAAGAAGTGAGGACATCTCGGTCATTAAAGTCTGAGAGGCAAGGCCTTCAGCCAGTTCAGGGCTTCCGGGGTGACTGAGTGGAGAATTTCGATTTTTCATTCAAAAGAAACACATGCTGGATAATTTTCAAATGTCGTTTTACAATCACAATTTGTTTCAATCTAAACTCTATTCCCAACTTATTTACATGAAAGAACAAAGACAATCTGATGAGCCAGGCACTCCTATTATTTTTATGATTGCAGTAAGGGGACAGTAGAAAATTGTTTTATTTAAAAATACCCGTTAAAAATAGTTTAAAGGTTTATAAAAAAGGTTGATGAAGTCTTCACCTTGAAATTATAAAGTGTAGCCATTCAATAAAAGAGTACTAAACAGAGCTGGAGCTTTTGCGTTGTTCAAATTCTGGAAGACGGCTGAAGAGAAGAGGAGGCTATATACATAATCTAATTGATGTAAATAATTATATGCAAATAATCGATGTCAGGATTAGAATGACGAATCCTGTATGGGACTTTGATTCCAGTAAAAGGCTTGTGGCTGCTGTTGTATATAGTCACAGTGTAGAAAATACTATACTATACCTACTACATATATCTCTGTATTCTTAGTTCTCTTCTCTTCAATTACTCTGTAAACAGGCGAATCCTATATAGGACGAGAGGTCCTCAATAAAGGCTTTTTGTTGTTGTATAAAAGAGTACTGTTAGGTTTTTATTATTATTATTGTATTTTATTAATTAATTATAATTCATATTCATAGAATGTTATTGTTACTTATCATCATTTTTTTTCTTCTTCTGTTTTCTTTTGTGTTATAAATACAACTAAATCGCATTAAATCGTAGTGTAATTCTCTTTTGTTGTTTGAAATAAATCGAATTGAATCGAATTGAGTCAGCTCGTTCTTTCTAAAAGAAACTTCAAAGAAAACGTGCTAACAAGTACATTAAAGTTGGATCTAACTATAAGTAAATTTCTCTTCATGTCAATGTGTTTTGATGGACATTGCGTTATTGTCAAGAAAAACTATCCCATTGTGGAAAGAGTCTAAAAATGAATGTGTTATTCGTTTAAATATTAAAATATAAATTCGTATAGATCCATGATACACGCCTCTTTTTATTGGAAAGACCATTTTAGGCATTCTCCAATACCGTATTAAAGTTTTATTCGGAGAGATTAAATATTTTATGGAAATCGAAAAAAATGTTTCTTTAGTTCTGGAAAACAGTTTTCCTTATTGAAAAAGATGGACTGGGTTTTATTGAAGTGAGAAAGATGTTAAAAAATTAAAATAATTTAACTTTTGTTTGATGTAAAAATTTTGTTCTCTATAGGGAATTCTTAGAAGAAGAATTTTGTCTCGATATGAAATGGTTAAAATGTAAACACAAGATTGTCCTAAAAGTTCGTAAACACTTGCAAAATAATTGAAATACCAATATTATTCGCTGTTATGTTTAATGTCTTTGTATTATGTATAAAGTAATTGTATTATGTATTATTATATATTAGCCGTAATAATATTATTCGTCAAGTAATAATAAAAACAACGTTTTAAGAAAAAAACACGAACTTTTGGGATTGTAATATGTTTTGTTTATTATTTTTATTGACGAACTTTTGGATCAACCTTATATATATGGTGTGAAAACAGTACAAAAGTGAATTTTTACTTGGATCAGGTGGATAATTTAAGAAAAAAAAAGGCATTTACTGATCGTGCGACTAATAGTTTCTGATGGCTTGCGCCATCTATCGGAATAACGAGGATCACACCATCACCATCTCTTCAGCGGCGAAGTACGCGATCTACGTATTCTTCGTAGATCACGAAATACGTGGTGTCGCTGGAGACCCGCTGGTGATTCTCCACCAAACTCTGCAGCGCTGGCAGAGGCACCATATTCATTGTACATAGCGTATATAATCCATATTATCTTTTTTAAATTGTACAGACTGTGCACTTTGCATGTATTGACAAGATGTTAATAAAATTATTTTAATTGTCAATTGTCTATCTGAATAAACATCAACTTATCGTTGATTTTTAATTATTCCAGAATTGTCCAAATACCGTTTCTTGTCTAATCAAGAATATCTAACCATGTACGCGTTTCGGGCTGGTTGGCCCTCGTTAGCATGGTGCAAGCTGTACCATAAAGACCAAAATGTCGACAATGTTATATATGTGTGTGTTATAACTTATAAATTTCAAGTCAGATCAAAACTATACAGAAATCTTTGTACAGAGCTATGTCCCATAATACAGCGTGCAATGTAAGATATAGTTATTAATTTATAATCAACCAGGAGTGATATTGAAATATTTGCGCCTATTTACAGAGGAAACAAACAAAACAACAAACAAATTGAAACTTAGAATTAAATGTGAAAAAAACGCGTATTTGGTTAGCTTTTCTTGATTAATCAAGAATGGATATTTGTGTGACCAATTCTGGAATAATTAAAAATCAAAGAATATGACATTTATTCCGATAGATGGCGTCAGTCACCATCAACTTTTAGTTTCACGATAAGGAGATGCATTTTTTTTTTCTTTCTTAGAATTAAACTAGCCGAATGACCCGGGCAACGCCCGTGTTTTACCCGATTGAATGTTTTGATTCAAATACTATTTGTCACAATTATAAATTGGCGCCTTAATTAATTGCATATGTTAGTTAATAACTATAGCCTATGTGCTTTATCTGTCTATGTACTGTTGGCTTCCGTAGGCGTCTCTTACTGGGAAAAAGAGAGGATTCCATTTGGTTATTAACTAATATATGCATTTATTTAAGGAGCGACTCGCTCCAACACAATAGTTACATGAATAGCGAGAGGGGGGGGGGGGGCATGATGGGGGGGGGGGGCAAAGGTGGCGTGACCGTAGCCAACCAATAGGAGGGCGCCATTCCAAAAAAAAAGCAAACGGTGACAGAGAGAGATGATTGATTAGGCGATGAGGAAAGACGCTCGTAACTTTATATAGAATATTCACATGTATTAATCGACAGAGTTCATAAAATGTATATAGACAGAGTGGCTGAGGTAAGAGAGTTAGATCATTTAGATCAGGGAACAATCGATGTCTCACTTATGCGGTGAAATGAAACTCCACCTTTGCCGGTCCCAAGCCCGGATGAAAAAGAAGGAGGGGGAGCAGTAACAAGCTCGCTAAAAAACCTGGGCTCAGCTGGCCCGGCTGATAGTACCCTGTAAGGGCTCCAGGGATACAGGATGAGCAGCGTTTGTACTCCATGTTAGGAGTAGCTACACATGGCATCTGTTCCTCATGTCAGAGGTGGCCATTTCTTTTGGAGCTAAGTCGGCCTGCCACTGAGTAGTGCTCCCAGTCTTAATGACAAAGGCATATGCATTCTACTTCACCCAATCATGATTGGTTGACAAGTCTCAAGCTCTACAAGCTGGATAACCCTAAATATGATTGAGTGGAGATAAGAAAGAAGAGGAAGACAATATATGAAAACTTATAAAATAATCATTGTTTTAAATATTCATATTTTTATATAAAATTCTAAGCAAATATATTGTCTAAATATCAGGGTCAATTGAAACAGAAAATTAAAAAGTGGTCAAAACGGGATTCGAACCCAGGTCGTTTATGTCTCGAAGCGATGCTCTTAACCACTGCTCTACCAACCGTCCCTTATAATGCGATGCAATGAACTATTTAAATTGACTTCCATTTGAAGATTTCCAGGATGTAGATTCCCCGATGTTCACACAGCTGTTCCATTGACCTCAACAACTTTACTCGTCATTACGCTAATTAAGTGAAATCTTTTGCTTCATTCCCATTGGTTCTTGTCTCATTAACCTTATGTATTCCTATCATTTTATTGGTTAGAATTTCCTTCCTTCTCTTTTTTACCTTTTTCACTAGATCTAGATAACTTTAGGGAGAGTTTTGAAAGCGATCTTTGCAATGCCATCTATCGGTATTGAAATGAATTATTTTTAACATTGAGAAGTTGTTTTATTTATTAATAAATATGTATTTTAGATACTGTATATTGTATAAATGACATTTTTTCAAGATGATTATTATATACAAGTATCAGAGTCATAATCAACAGTCAATCAACAATTCTGTCACCGTTTGCTTTTGTGAATGGAATAAATACCCAAATATGGCCATTTTTTATAAGCATTTGACAGGTTCTGGGCAAAAATAGTTGGTTTTTTTTTAGTCAGAAAATGATTATGACAATATTGCTGTATCATATTTGATTATCAGATACAAAATTATATCGGGAAAAATTCCAAAAAGCAGAGACCACGGGTGAAGCCAGTTCATTTTTAGTACGCAGGAACAAAATTCTAACAGAAAAACATTCATTCGAGCAGAAGACACAAAGCCAGATCATCTCTTTATAAAAATATCGCTTCTCAAACACAAAGTTTGGAGTGGGACGTTTCACAAAAATGACATCCATGCGCCAATTTATAATTGTAACGAATAGTATTTGAATAAAAGCATTTAATCGGGTAAAACCCGGGCGTTGCCCGGTCATTCGGCTAGTTTAATATATAACTGAGAATTCCAATAAACAATTATTTATTTTAAAATACGATATTGCTAGAATATTGTATTCATGAACCAAAAGGCGTACCTCTCCCTTTAAAATGCATTAAAACAATATATTTAAAATTATATTTCTATATATAATTTTATCGGAAATTTCCATATAAAAAATAATAATGTTCATCTCTCTCTATCTGTGTGAGTTATAAATTTATAACTTCCAGAGGATTTATGCAAACACTACGCCTGATAAAGAACTTGGTCT